CCCGCAATCCTTTGGGTCTGGGATCATACTTGAAACTCTCAGAGCCCTCCATTTCTTCCACGTCGTCTTGAGAAAGTTTAGAGTAGCGATAAGAGGGGCGGCTGCAATGATACAAAACAAAAGTTGTAATGCGACATTTCCTCAAGATACTCCAGGTTACAAAGAGTTGGAAAATTCTTGGCACGCACTACTACTTTCTAGATTTTTTTCCCAAAACCTTTATTTCCATCTCCCTCTCTCCCGTTTCAGTGTTACTTGGAGTTAACAAAATGGTCACTAGTTTCAGGCAATATTGTTTAGGGGAAAGGGGACACTGCAAGTAACTTATTGGAGATTTTTCCTTTATCCTTTTCAATTTTGTTATTCCGTACGATTGTGTGACTGAGGACGACAGGATCATACGATGAATAAACTTGGTAGAAAATTTTTTTTTTTTTCTTTTTTTTGCGGTTGGAATTCAATTTTGTTTGATTTAAATAAAATTTCCACTGAATAGAGATTATCTGAAACAGAGGTTATATCACATCGTGTAAGATAAAAATGCACTTACATTTTATGAACCTTCCAGTATTTTCTGCCAAAGTACACAGCGGCCACAATCAAAATCAAAACCATAGGAAAGACTATCCATACCGCACCTTTACTGTGCGCCTTCTACAGATAAAAAAGAAAAAGATCTGATGATTGATTCTCCACACTGTCTGTCGTACATTTTTTATAATTTTAAGTCTGAGAATTTGGTGTGAAATCAAATGGTATCCCATGCTTGATAAGTTCTTTACTTCTCGTCACCCTTCTGCTTAACAATGTATTGGTATTGTAAGGAGAAACTCATATTTGGTCACTCCAGGGATTGAAAGAGTTAATGTATCAAGAATTCTTTATAACTTTATTGAAACACTGCCTCGGTATCTGTGATGCGTGAGTGAGTGGCAAGTAAACGGGGAAAAGAACGAAGACCACTAGAAATATTCAGTCTATGATGACCTTAGCCTGCCGAATAGTGCTTGAGCATGACCGTTTCTTCGTCCATGGGAAGGATATGACCTTGAGGAACGTGGGCCGAGAGGGTCTGGAACTTATAATAAGTTTTTAGTGCCAGACCCCCTTCACACTTCTCTCCGAGTCGTCTCAAATCTTTCTGCGTACAGAGAAACGCGCGTCCTGCAGCGCCAATAATGGGGGCCTGATCTCAAGCTAAGGTTAGCTAAGCCAATATTTGATTCATATGAAAACACGTCATGCAGACTGCTAGGATCGACAATGTCGAAAGCCTCGAGTAAATAAAAAATGATCAATTTTTAGCTCGGCTGTGAAACATAATATGCAGTATAAAAAAGTCCACGGCGCTCTAACGACAAAGTAAAAAAGAGTTAGATACTAAAGGATTTCCTCTGAAGTGGAAATCCTTAAACTCTTCGAATATTCATTATTCATTATGAGCCCTGTAGATTTGAGACGCGTCGAGGAGAAGTATGCAAGGGGTCTGGCACTAATAATGATCATCAGTACCAGACCCCCTGCAGACCTCTCGCCAGCTCGCGTTGCTGAAGCCGTTATACTTTTCCCGCGGGTGAAAAAAAGACTGGTGCCGTAGCGCTCACAATAAAGACCCGCTCCCAAGCGATTGAACAAAATAATATAAAAAGACGGCGTCCTTACCTTCTTTGCAAATTTTGCCTCATAGTCATAATTCATCCCGTATTCGTACCATGAAGCATTTTTACAGAGCTGCTGTGTGTCTAAATACTTGTTCACAATAGGATCACCTCCACAGCACTGATCACCTGGAATACGTCGATATCTACAACAAATTATATTAAGCTGAATTATACAGGCAGTTTTATTGGTTTTTATCTTTGATCTATTGGAGAACAGATGACGGCACAGATAACGGCACAGAGACGGCCTAGATGACGTCACTATCGGCCAAATTTTCTTCAGATCCAATAGTTTAATTTATCAAGCAACACAAGCCAAACAGACAAAGATCAGTCACAACATGAATTTTTTAAAACAGCATAATCACAATACTGATTTGGTATTGTCGCGACATAGCCACAATATACCATAATTCGTCACTCTGGTCACACGTGACACTATGCACCATATGGATGCGCAGTGTCAAACCGCAAAATCACACAACACAAGCCTTACTGACCCTAAATTGTCTGTTTCCACATCACCATGTATACAAAGCTCTGGAGGTTTATGTTCGTCCCTCACGCAATCAGTTCCATTTGAATGATAGCCGTAGTCGCTGAGGAAAAAGAAAAAACGAAAAGAACAAAATATTGGCAAATCCATCAACACGGCAATAAACTGTCCAATGAAGAGTATTCCACGGGGTTTGCGGGGGGGCAATTCAGTTCGTAACTAAAACATGAACATTCCTTCGTTTTAGACTATTTCCGTTAAGCAGGTGAAAAAAACAACAACAACAACACTGAAAAACTAGGAAACAGCGCGGAAACTGAGAGCAAGATGGATCACACGCCATTTTGACCCCACTCCGTGTGCGGCTTTCATGTTTCATATTTGCCCATTGGTTTTTCCCTCCACTACTCCACATACACAAGAGCCCTCCAGAGAGAGTTATTCAAATTAACTGGAATTCAACAAATTGCATAAACAATTAGGGTAGAACCATAACATATATATATATATATATATTGGTTACGTTGTTTTCGAAGATTCTGCATGAGCTCCGATATCTTTAGCCAGCTCCAGGCATTCAGTTAACAAAACGAAACAAGATGGTAAATGGCGCAATAGAAACAGAAAATTGAAAAACAAGGGAAGTCTGGGTCGGGTCGCGCAATGCCACTCGACCCAAACCTCCCCCGTTTTTTTAACTCCCCCGTGACTATCGCGCCGTTCATTATTTCGCTCCGTTTCCCAAACTGAACGCCTGGAACAAACTATGATATGTTCCATTGCACTCTTTGCTGCCTTACCATTCTATATCATCGTGTGTACACTCACAACATTCACTTTTTTCTTGATGGATATAATCCACTCCATTAAAACAACTGCAAACAAACAACAGTTAAAATACTTTAGCTAACTACCCCTCGTGAACAACCTTAAACCCTTTAAATCTCATGAGAAACCAAGACAGAATTTCTCCTTAGAACATCAATACAAAATTAAGACGACAAGTGATGAGAAAAGAGACAAATATCAATTAGGGGATTATTATTTGATTCAATACCAATTTCTCCGAACTAACATCATCAGAATTGTATGGCAGACAGTAAGGAGAATAACTAACGAGATCTGCTGTCTATACCTTTCCTCTAGTACTAAGTTTCGCATATTTGGCGTGTCAACGCTTCTTTCTTAAACATTTCCATTTGAAATTTTACGCGGGAAATTAACGCGCGTCCGGCCAAAATTGATCCCCTTGCGCATGCCCAATGCTTGACCGCTCCGTTGCTTTAATTTGTAAATGCGTTTTAACGCTGGAGTTATATATCTTTAGGCATCAGAGAGGAGACCGTACGGTCATGTATGAAGATAATAGTCAAAATTGTTTCCTTACAGACTCTCTTTCTTTGGTCTTAGAATGTAAACTTTTCTACCCAGCAGGCATCCGTTTTTCGCCCCTTCACCGTGAGGTATCCACTTTTCGTAATCGTCATCTTTACCTACAGAACAACAACATTTCAAATGATTTCAACGGCCAATCAAAGCAAAGGGAAATGGAAAAGAAAGCCAATGAGGATTCAGGGTAAATACATGTGACCGGCGCGGTCCGAGCGCGGGAAACACGAGAGAATACGAAGTTGCAATTGATTGGAGTATGTAATCGCATGAGGCCGAGTAAAAGTAAGGATTGATTTCTGCAACTTCTGAAAACACAAGTTATCCCTAACTTTAAGAGGAAACAAGCGCTTACTTGTTCACAATAAAACAGCCAAAATTTTCTTTTATAAGAAAGATCAACAACGAACACAGTTGCGCAACGGCTTAGGAAGCCATTTTAGTGTTCAGTTATCATTAATATGACCTGTAAAACGCACGAATTGGCGAAATTAAATTCTTTGTTTGCGCAGAAACGCCAAAACAAAAAAGGCAACCCTGCTTAAAAACATTCACCATCAATAAAAATTTTTAACTTTTTAAGAAAAGTTAAGCCTTTTTGATTGTTTTCTACATTTTGTTCGAAATTGGGCAGGAAATTTCTTGTCCAATCACCGACCGAATTAAACCGCGGGAAAACACGGGTGGCCAGGACGCGATTGGTTTTAGCTTTGTATCTGATTAGTCGAGATGGTGGTGCGTGATTTCTGGACCAATCAGCGGGCGAAGTAACGCAAGGGAAAACGCGAGTGGCCATAACGCCATTGGTTGAGGAAGAGGCACGTGTTTTCTGGACCAACCACAAAACGCACCCCGTCCTGAAATCCCAGTGGTATTTATCACCTTCTGTTCTTAGGCAAGGCGCGCGGAGTCTCACCGAAAACCAGCAAACTTTGGCAACTTACAAGCTCTTTTGAGTACGTTCTCAAAGTCCACAGTGATAACCTCCCACTCTCTTGAAGGTAAAGTAAATCCCCACAAACTGAACCTCATTGTTTTTCCACCCGGCTCTGTGACCAACCCGGTGACAGTGAAGTCACGGTTTGTAAAAGGATGCTTGAACCAACAGCGGCCCTCGTTCACTGAATACCTGAAAAAAATTCCAAACATGAATAAATTTTCCTCATCTGTCAATAATTTCCTCCGTGAAGGAATATTTATAACAAACATTTTCACTCAGCAATTGCACTCTAACAACAAGCAGTCAGTTAACCCTTTAACCCCAAGAGTGACTGGCATCTAATTTCTCCTTACAATATCATCCCTGAATAAAACATTAAGGTCATGAGAATTATGGAAATGATCAACAACGCAGGAAACTCTTGATTCTTAAACAAATTCTTCTTTTCAGAACCCTTAGAAATGTATAGGAAATGTAGGGAGAATATGCATACTGATGTTAGGGTGTAAAGGGTTAAGAAAACGAAGCGCGATTGTAAACAACGCGAATGTAGCGGAGGAATAAAATAAAAACTGGCTTGAGTTTAAAACGAGGGAGGTTGGGTCGGGTCTCGTATTGAACTACATTCTCTACGCGAACCGATCGGAACTTCCCTCGTTTTCGCTCTGCCGCTATTATCACGCCGTTTATTATTCGCTCCGTTCACTGACCGAACGTCTGGAACACGCTACTCCGCAAAATTTTGTCCCAGCAGTTTTTCCCTCAACGAGTCTCCTTCAGTAAATGGGATAATAGCTGATCGTGAAGTCTGATCGTCCGGGTGATAAGAGTCCTGGAGAAGACTGATCTCGGCAGTCGTGACAGCGGTTTCGAAAGCCTTAGCTAAAGTCCCCCCTGCCCTCCCACTCCATCCCTCGCTCTTGCACTGTGACAAGAACAGGCCACAAGTTTGATCCTTCCTACTTTTAAATTGGTGCTTTGTTGTAAATATTTACAAAAACCCAAGAAGTGGATAAAGCGATGATGTTATTCATCACTTGTTAACCTAACTACTAACATAACTCACATGAGATATTTTGTGGCAGAGCTGAAAGCTGGTACAGCCACGATCAAGTTTCCATGATCTCCAATGGAGTAATGGTGCGAGCCACTCAGAACCTACAAACAACAGATATCACTAATGCAACGCTTTGCGATTGAGTGTTTTAGAGAACTTTTCGATTAGATGTCGTCAAACAGAAGAAAAGAAAATACCTTTAAGAGCCAACGAGAACTCAAATTGAAAACAAGCAAACTGCCTGAAGCGCGGGAAAAACGCGGACGACCAAATTGGGATTTGTTTTAGTTTCGCATCTGATTGGTTGAGAGAGTGGCGCGATTTTTCTGAACCAATCAAAAAGCTAACAAAAGGAAAACCTACACCCACGCAATCACAACGACGAATCAGAAAAAAGCGAAAAACTTTTCCAGGAGCCACACTGTACTCAAAGTAAAAGGAAGCCAACCCCCTGAAGCGCGGGAAGACCCAAGGGACCCATGTTGCGAAAGACCACTATTTGTGCACTGTTTGTACTATTTATAACCTGTTTACAGAAAGGGCTGGGGAGATATCAATCTCTTCCCAATCTTTTCTCGTCTGTAGCTTTCATTCGATCCAGAGAAAAAAACAAACTTCTGAACAATATTAGCATCCTTTGCAGCCCTCATTTAGTTCCGTCACGCAACTCACTCTCGCAATAAAGCGCTGCGTGACGTGACCAATCAAAGGCCGCAAAGGAGACTAGTCTTCACTTGAACCTACCTTATTCCACGTGTACCCTCCGTCACGTGTCATCCACACGTCCACGTTTCTGTTCAAGGCGCTACCCGCATGACCATGAGCAAGTATGATACCAACCGCGTTAGGAATGCTCAAGGGACCCATGGCAAAGTCTACACCTCTACTTCGACTGAAACGGCCATGGATTTGAAGAGAGCACTTCTCACCTGGCTGATAGATTCACAATCAAAAGTTTTCATTCTGAATACAATAAAAAATAGTTTTTTTCTGCGCTACTGTGCTTGAAAATTGTATGCACATACAGTATACTTTCTCCTAAACCTTTACACCCTAACATCAGCATGCACACTCTCCACACTGTTCTCTAAACATTTCCTATGGTACTTTAAGGAGAATTTGTCGACCAATCAAGAGCATCTTGAATGGGTGATCGTTTCTATTATTCTCATGACCTTACTGTTTGATTCAGGCCTGATATAGTAAGGAGAATTTAGAGGCCAGTCACTCTTTGGGGTTAAAGGGTTAACGACTATCCTATTAAGTAACCACTTCTATGATCGAACGAACATTTTGCTAACAACGGTTTTTCCTCTAAGTCGAATGTCGTTTAAAAGCTTTCTCGGAGGCAGCCAGTTCTCCAATTTGTCAAGCGTTCTCGATCACACATTTGCCAGAAATTTGACTGAATCTTCCATTTTGTACCCGGGCAAAAAAGCATTCACAAAGACCCACATGGGTTGAACTACAAAGCGTGAAAATCACTACGTTCCTGTCGCCTTTATGAATTCAATCCTCATAACTGAAAAAAACGGAGCAACAGTTATCTTACGCTGATAGAGCACTTTTCAATGGAGTGTCGAAAGTATTCTGGGATTGCAAAGGTTTTACTTAACTTTGCCTTGCGATTGGTCCAGAAAACTCGCGCCATCCTTTCAACCAATCAAAAGCCAAACTAAAAATAATCGGGGCTTGGTCGTCCGCGTTTTCCCGCGCTTGACCAATTTGCTTGCTTTCACTGCGAGTTCTCATTGGTTGATGATAACGTTCACCATTGTTCTGTTTGGTCACTGGGATTACTTTGCTATTGGTTTTACAACACTCAATTTCGAAAACTGCTCTAATCTAGTTGTTGACCAGAACGTAACTGAACAGAGAACCGTATCAGCCTATGGCGTTATTGTACACGAGGTGCTCATGAAATACCTCTCGCTTGACGTTCTTGCATTGTTCATCCGCCAAGGGAATAGTGCTCCACCCACCACCACGGTTAAAACTAATCATTGACGTTACACTCTTGTCTGAGGAGTTACAAAGAAATGGAGAACAAATAAATATACGTGTAAAATAAACAGTTCGTGGAAATAAATTAGAATTTAGAAATGGACATTGCACGAGATGGCGCTGCTTGTCCACTGTTTCCAAGTCGAAACTGAAATTGGAATATTAGTGTCTGTGGAAGGAGGAAAACCGGAGGACGCGGAGAAAAACCCTCAGAGCAAGGACAAGTACCAACGACAAACTCAACCTACATGGGACGCCAGGGCCTGGAATCGAACCCGGGCCACGGTAGGGGAAGACGAGCGCTCTCACCACTGCGCCACCCCTACTCCCCTGATATGTGAAAGTTCATCAAAAATTTACTGTTAACGGTATCTAAGCCATTTCCGTGATGCCCAAAGCCTGTGCTTTAAAACGAAGGTAATTGTAATGATATTTCGTTTTCATGCATAAAAAACTCACTTTCAAAAGAAGAAAAAAAAAAAAAGCTTTTTCTTCCTCCTTTTTCCGAAAGTTGGCGTTTTTAAAACTAGGAAATAACCTACTGGGTTGTTCATCTCCCACATACAATTTCTTCAAGGATTTCATATTTTGTCAAAAATCAACATCGCTTAGAATCACGTCAACCGACATAATATGCTTATAAATACAAGTGTATGTGCGTATAAATATCAGCGTATTCGCGTATAAACTGCTCATATACGCACCTAAGGACATACGCGTCTGTCTCATTAGTACGTGTGAGCTAGCTTATTGCTTTTCCATTATTGACAGGTAGTTGTTTTAAAGAAGAGACTGACCGCACTAAAATACTACAAATCCACGAACTACATGAAGACTTGTTCGTTGCAAGCCGACCTTGTCAAGGTACTGTTACATGTGTATACGTGTTCGTACTCGGAAAATATAAACGGGTCATCATTTTCGAACGGAATTCTTCTATCTGAGAAGCTGTTTCTTATCACTTCGAGAAAAAAACTACTTCCATCACCAGGTATGCACATTTCCTGGCATCACAATATCTTAGTACAGTGTAAATGTCATGACTAAATAACGATGTAAAACATAAGCTTACAGAGCCGATTCTGTTATCAGGGTCACTTCTAAAA